GAAAATAAACGCCCTGTAAATGAGCGCCCTCTTTGCAAATTAACAATTGCCTACATTTCCCAAAAATGGTCTGTGTGATTTGAATTCGCTCATATATACGATACTGTTGGCTAATACAAGTTATGACTAAGACCCGGTGAACTCAAGTAATGAAATTATATTAGAAATATGAAAGAAAAACAGTGTCAAAAGTATTGGAAGTTAACCTGAAACCTTGGAGTTGCTACAGTCAAGCGGTTTGTAAAATGGTATCCTATAACCTTCTTGGTTATGAACAACTCTAACTCATTTTTTGTGATATCACAAATATCAGTGTCACCCAAGTATATTTATTCACAAAACAAGGTAAAGTGGTTTTGTCAAAGCAGTAATTTACTTTCGTAACTAACTGTTCTTTTCTATAGCTCATATTTCTAAATGAGTTGGTATTAATGTTTTACCTCCATGCAGAAGTAGGTGTTGGTTTAAGCAACTCTTCCGATGAAAAACCATTAAGACCTGTCTCTTGGGGTTATCTGCTTACTGTGACATTATGTATATCTTGATCTACGTTATTGTTTTGGTTTTAGAACGTTGAATTATCCACACTAAAGGACTCTCTAGCTTGTTTTGAATACCTTTCTCTGTTTAAATTAATAGTTTCTAAATAAATGGAAATTGTCATCAAGTGGGAATCAAACCTGGTTTTTTGAAGGTTGTTGGTTTCCGATGTAGCCACTCCTGGTTGTAGCTTCTTTGGGGTTTTCGAGACACCAAACAACAAGGTTCTTAATCTACTTCAAACGGTCTAAGAGCTCATGATCAAATAGTAAAAAACCTGTACTAAGCAGTTTCAAAAGACGGAGAGATCGTTATCATTACCGTTTCTGTAACTTTTATTTACTTAGGAAAATAATATCATGTTTTAGTTATAAACTATTACCTTAGGAAACAGAAACAAATACCTGGGCGTATAAAAGAAATGTATATGTATTTATTCAATTTCTAAACTATAAAGTTCAACAAATATATAAATGTATTACATAACGATTTGTCTCCGATAAATAATTACAGAAAGAATAATATCAATTTATAGAAGTGAAGCTACTTTTCAGTTCATTGCACCAAGCGTCTCTTGTTGAAATTAATATGGCAAACAACATTTTCTTGCAAGTTTTAGTAGTTATATTTATTGTGCTTTCAGTGGCAACAAATGTACAAACGTTTCCTTCGGTCTAGGTTGTCCTTATAATGCCAGCGTGCAAGAATACTTAATGAGTTTAAAATTCGAAAGTTGAACGTAATTTAATACAAAAGTTTTAAACTTTTCCTGTTATAAGCTGATATTAGCAAAAGTATATGATTTTCAAACATTATCATATAGTATGTATATTTATCCATTCAGCTTTCTATCTAATTTAAATCATAATATTGATATATTTGTTTCATCTTAATCTATTATCGATCGTATTCTTTTATTAACAAAACATTTTAAAGG